GGTCTAAATCAGCTTAGAATTAGAAATAGCGTTAAAAATACGCCAGTGTGCCCGTAACAGATTATAGTGCGGTTTAAAACGAAGCGGCTTTCAATCGTAGCCTTGAGAAGTATTATTTTTGTTCTTTTGTTTCTTTTACTTTCCATCCTATGTTGCTGTTAAGCGTAGGGGGAAGATGTATTTAGGGAGCAAAGTACTAATGTAATCTCTTTAAAAACTAAGCTCGCTTTACTCCCAAAATTCAGTCAAAATTGTATAAGACGGTCACCCATTGTCGAGAAGAAAACTAGACGTCTCAGACAGGTTGACATTTTATACAATGTCATTATAACATGAAAAAAACAAAACAAACAAACAAACAAACAAAAAAGCATCAAAAAACCCAACAACAACAACAACAAAAAACCCCAACAAAACAACCCCCCCCAAAAAACAACAACACCAAAACAACAACAACAACAACAACAAAAAAACCGCGATGGGAAATGGGCATTTGTACAGGTGATTGTCTTATACTGAGGGTCATTAAAGCAAGTTTAAGTGTTATTTACTTTCTTTTACTTTTCTTTCTCTGTCGCTGGTAAGCTTCGAAGGGAGATTCAGGGAGAGAAGGACCAACCAACACACACGAAATCTGGTTAGAACCTTAGCTCACTTTGCTCACAAAGTTATAGTAAATTAAGCTCGCCTTTTTAAGAGTCAAACAACCGTAGCTGTTAATAGTAGCAGTCTTTAAAAAAATCAAGCCACTTAGAGTAATTTGTAACCTTCTTTTTCCGAAACATCACCTTTAGATACTTACCATCCAAATCTGTTGACAAATCAAATAAAAACAGTTTCTTTGTCGAAAGTAACAACATGATTGTAGTAAGCACATACGAAAAACAGAAGCTTGTCGTACATTTTCTTAATCTGTAGTTTTACCAGCTTATTCTAAATTAAAACTTTGCTTTTTTGTGTGATAATTCAAAGACAGCAACTCCACAAAATACAAAACTGATAAAAACGACGTCAATATTTTCTTGATTTTTTTCTCTCTTTTTGTAACGTAAGAAACAATTTAAATAATCATCCTGACTACTTTTGATTACCTTTTCCGTTCTGTTGCCCAGTGTGTTTCCTTTCCACTAGTCTTACCATTGTCTTAAAAATTTAATTCTTGTCCAATATTTCCGGAAAGTGGAGAATCTGATGAGTGAACAGTCTGCCTAACACCTTGTAACAACGGGAGATGTTTGGGTTAAACACTACCCAAATCAACACAATTCTAGACATCTTAAAGAGAGAACGGATCTAATTTTAAAAGATGAGATATGGAGATGTCATCTGATTGAAAAAACAGGTACCCC